TGGCGAAGGATAGATGGCCAGATTCTAGTGATCTGGTGTGGAAGAATGGCCATGGACTAGTGATCTGACATGGGATGGATAACCACAGTCTAGTGATCTGGTGTAGGAAGGATAGAAACTGTGCAGTGATCTGGTGTGGAAAGAAAAGCCACTGTCTAGTGATCTGGTATGGGAAGGATAGCCACGGTCTAGTGATTTGGTGTGGAAAGCATAGCCATGGTCAAGTAATCTGGTTTGTTATAGATGGCCATGGTCTAGTAATCTGACATGGGGTGGATGACCACAGTCTAGTGATCTGGTGTGGGAAGGATAGAAACTGTCTAGTAATCAGATGCGCGAAGAATGGCCATGTTCTAGTAATCTGGTGTGATATGGATGGACATGGCCTAGTAACCTGGTGTGATATGGAGGGCCAACGTCTAGCAATCTGGTGTGGGAAGGACAGCCATGGTCTAATAATCTGGTATAAGAAGAATGTCCATGTTCTAGTAATATGGATGTGATATGGATGGCCATGGTCTAATAATCTGGTGTAAGAAGGATGGCCATGCTCTAGTAATCTGGTGTGATATAGATAGCCATGTTCTAGTAATCTGGTGTAATATGGATGGTCATGGTCTAATAATCTGGTGTGGTATAGATGGCCATGATCTAGTAATCTGGTGTGATATGGAGGGCCATGGTCTAGTAATCTGGTGTGATATGGAGGGCCATTGTCTAGTAATCTGGTGTGGGAAGGAGAGCCATGGTCTAATAATCTGGTGTAAGAAGGATGGCCATGTTCTAGTAATCTGGTGTGATATGGATAGCCATGGTCTAATAACTGGTGTGTAACGGACCGTTTCAGCAGACAAGGGATAAAAACCGCTTAGATGATAATCCCCTTTCAGAGACAGGCACAGCTACTGTAGAATCACCAAAACTCACGAATTGAATACAAGTGAATGCACCAAACTCCCGAACTGCATACAAGGGAATGCTCCAAACACTCGAACTGCATACAAGGGAATTCTCCAAACACTCGAACTGCATACAATAAGTCAATGCTTCAAACTCCCGAACGGCATCCAATATAGCACTCCAAACAGACGAACAGGAACCATATGAATTGCTGCTACCAGACGAATAGGAAAAGCATCCAAGCGGCTTACACTCCTAGCAATCAGTCTCTATCAGCATTCAGTAAATCCCCCCAAAGACGAGACAAGGCTCCGTGTTGAGGGTCAAGCAGTGGTCTGTTTAATGAGGGCTACCTGCCCAATATTTATGCAGGTCTCCCACCTGGTGGACACTCCCCTAGGGGACCAGATGGAAGACTGTAACAAAAGACAGACATGTACCAATTACAGACATACAGAAGTAAAACATCCCCACAATGCATCCTGGCTTCCTCCCCTCTGCCCTGGAGAAGTAATTAAATTATCTCCCAGGACAAAGGCAAAACTCCATTACACATGTGGGGACACAAAGACAGACGATCACTTTAAAATACATAAAGTAGCATTTATTACATAAAACACAGACATGTAACATATCCCCAGATAGCTCAGGTCTGAGCGCACATTATTAAGCCAATGGCGCTCAGACCACACGAATACAGTTTAATCGCCATGGAGCCAAAGTCTTTACAGTCAGTTTCATACGAATGGGCTCCATGGGATTCCTATCTGGGGTATAACACATTCGAACAAAACTACCGAACACTGGGCCGTTCATGCACTTCCACTGAACAAGAAGGGAGGTCGGCAGCTTCAGCGGTGTTCGCGCAAAACTGTGTCCGATTTTAGTTCCATGAAAATAGGAGCGAACACCGCTGTGCATTCGTATGTTTAAAATGGCCGCGACCTCATGTTCGGGATACGAATGGCGGCCACCCAGCATTCATCAATTAAGCTGCGGTTAACTGCAGCTTCAGGGAGGTTAATTGCCGGCACACTCCAGCTCCCAGGTGGTCTTTCATTCGTGCGTTTGTTCGGTAGATTGAATCTACCGAACAACCGGCAGAAAAGCACGAATACAGCTTTTCTGCAGGCGAAATAAAGTCTTTTAAAAGGGGGCCATAGTCCAGAGGCAGCAGGTGAGCAACCAGGCTTCTCCAATGCAATGTGGCGAGATTGGTCTCGTCACATGGTGTATGAAGGATGGCCATGTTCTAGTAATCTGGTGTGATATGGATGGCCATATTCTAGTAATCTGGTATGATATGGATGGTCATGGTCTAATAATCTGGTGTGATATGGATGGCCATGTTCTAGTAATCTGGTGTGATATGGAGGGCAGTGGTCTAGCAATCTGGTGTGATATGGAGGGCCATGGTCTAGTAATTTGGTGTGGGAAGGAGAGCCATGGTCTAATAATCTGGTGTAAGAAGGATGGCCATGTTCTAGCAATCTGGTGTGATATGGATGGCCATGTTCTAGTAATCTGGTGTGATATGGATAGCCATGTTCTAGTAATCTGGTGTAATATGGATGGCAATGCTCTAGTAATCTGGTGTGATATGGAGGGCCATGGTCTAGTAATCTGGTGTGATATAGAGGGCCATGGTCTAGTAATCTGGTGTGGGAAGGAGAGCCATGATCTAGTAATCTGGTGTGATATGGATGGCCATGTTCTAGTAATTTGGTGGGATATGGCTGTCCATGGTCTAGTAATCTGGTGTGGGAAGGATAGTTATGGTCTAGTAGTCTGGTGTGATATGGATGCCCATGGTCTAGTAATCTTGTGTGATATGGATAGCCATGTTCTAGTAATTTGGTGGGATATGGCTGTCCATGGTCTAGTAATCTGGTGTGGGAAGGATAGTTATGGACTAGTAGTCTGGTGTGATATGGATGCCCATGGTCTAGTAATCTGGGGTAATATGGATAGTCATGGTCTAATAATCTGGTGTGGGAAAGATAGTAATGGTCTAGTAATCTATTGTGATATGAATGGCTAATGTCTAGTGATCTGGTGTGGGATAAACCACTGTCAATCAATACGTTCTGGGAAGGATGGCCACTACAGTTGCAAGAAAAAGTATGTGAACCCTTTGGAATGATATGGATTTCTGCACAAATTGGTCATAAAATGTGATCTGATCATCATCTAAGTCACAACAATAGACAATCACAGTCTGCTTAAACTAATAACACACAAAGAATGAAATGTTGCCATGTTTTTATTGAACACACCATGTAAACATTCACAGTGCAGGTGGAAAAAGTATGTGAACCCCTAGACTAATGACATCTCCAAGAGCTAACTGGAGTGAGATGTCAGCCAACTGGAGTCCAATCAATGAGATGAGATTGGAGGTGTTGGTTACAGCTGCCCTGCCCTATAAAAAATACACACCAGTTCTGGGTTTGCTTTTCACAAGAAGCATTGCCTGATGTGAATGATGCCTCGCACAAAAGAGCTCTCAGAAGACCTACGATTAAGAATTGTTGACTTGCATAAAGCTGGAAAGGGTTATAAAAGTATCTCCAAAAGCCTTGCTGTTCATCAGTCCACGGTAAGACAAATTGTCTATAAATGGTGAAAGTTCAGCACTGCTGCTACTCTCCCTAGGAGTGGCCGTCCTGTAAAGATGACTGCAAGAGCACAGCGCAGACTGGTCAATGAGGTGAAATAGAATCCTAGAGCAGGGGTAGGCAACCTACGGCACTAGTGCCATGCACGGCACTTGAGGTGCCTTTGCACGGCACTCAATGCTACAAGAGCCAAACAGGCTCTGGCCTGTCAGGAGTCCCAATGAAACTTCAGATATCTGCTAATACGAAAAGGTGGTGAAGGACAATCCTCCATTTATGCATTGCAGCACGTAGAGGAAGTGATCACAGATCACTTCCTCCCAGCACTTGTGAATGGGAATCCACACTGAAGTAGAGCAGCCCATAGCCTCCTGTTGCAGCTTCGGTCCTTGAGCTGTACCTGGCCAGCCTGGTCCCCACTAAAACCCAGGGAAGCCTCAGAAGCTGCAGAATAACCTTCCCCTCATACAAATAATACAAACATACACACAGTCCGCACAAACACAACACCACCAACAATCCACATACATGCACACAACCCTAGATGCAGCCTCTCACCCCAAACAGCCCCACACATACACACACTACCAAATACTCAATGTGACATACCACCCACATACAATTCCACAAGCAGCCCTCGTACACTGCCCACATTCATAGGTATTATACATGATACCACAAACTATTAAAGAACATATACAATATAATAGCTCATATACGCACAAATACAACGATACAAAGCAAATGCAGTATAAATAACACAAGCAGAATATGGCAACATACACATCTCAATTTAAAGAAATAGGACCGACACGCTACGGGACATCACAATCATATTTCGGCACAGTGCTGCTAAAAGGTTGCCTACCCCTGTCCTAGAGTGTCAGCTAAAGACTTACAAAAGTCACTGGCAAATGCTAACATCCCTGTTAGCGAATCTACAATACGTAAAACACTAAACAAGAATGGATTTCATGGGAGGATACCACAGAGGAAGCCACTGCTGTCCAAACAAAACATTGCTGCACATTTACAGTTTGCACAAGAGCACCTGGATGTTCCACAGCAGTACTGGCAAAATATTCTGTGGACAGATGAAACCAAAGTTGAGTTGTTTGGAAGAAACACACAACACTATGTGTGGCGACAAAAAAGGCACAGCACACCAACATCAAAACCTCATCCCAACTGTGAAGTATGGTAGTGGGGGCATCGTGGTTTGGGGCTGTTTTGTTGCGTCAGGGCCTGGACGGATTGCTGTCATCGAAGAAAAAATGAATTCCCAAGTTTATCAAGACAATTTGCAGGAGAACTTAAGGCCATCTGTCTACCAGCTGAAGCTCAACTGAAGATGGGTGTTGCAACAGGACAATGACCCAAAGCATAGAAGTAAATCAACAACAGAATGGCTGAAACAGAAGAATATACGCCTTCTGAAGTGGCCCAGTCAGAGTCCTGACCTCAACCCGATTGAGATGCTGTGGCATGACCTCAAGAAAGCGATTCACACCCGACATCCCAAGAATATTGCTGAACTGAAACAGTTCTGTAAAGAGGAATGGTCAAGAATTACTCCTGACCGTTGTGCACGTCTGATCTGCAACTACAGGAAACGTTTGGTTGAAGTTATTGCTGCCAAAGGAGGTTCAACCAGTTATTAAATCCAAGGGTTCACATACTTTTTCCACCTGCACTGTGAATGTTTACATGGTGTGTTCAATAAAAACATGGCAACATTTCATTCTTTGTGTGTTATTAGTTTAAGCTGACTGTGATTGTCTATTGTTGTGACTTAGATGCTGATCAGATTACATTTTATGACCAATTTGTGCAGAAATCCATATCATTCCATAGGGTTCACATACTTTTTCTTGCAACTGTATATAGTGATGAGCAAGACTAAACCTTCAGAAATTGAATTAAATTACTGCAAGAGGCAACAGGCTATTAATTATCAAAAGCTTGGTCTACTCGAAATTTTGGCATACCGTGTCTGCATTATTCTCGCCCCATCTGCATTTTACCACCAGCGTGCTTTTTTCACTTAATTTTGTTTACTTTTATCATAGATGTAGGGGTATGTGAAGTAAATCTTGCCATGTAGGAAATTGTTGTGTAATCAGAGGGGAAAACCTCGGAGAACAAGAAGAATAATGAAAGATCTAACTCAGAGTGTCTGGGCTCGCTTTGTTCTTGTGATATATAAATTAATAGAATAAGTATGGGATGGATGGAAAATCAGAGAACAGAGAAGATAAACAGGATAAACTTGCAAATAAAAGATGAATATTGAAGGAAAAGAAGAAAATCTGTAAAAGTGAAAAGCTTTGAATGTAAAGTTGAGAAAAAGCTTTGAATGTAAAGTTGAGAAAAAGCTTTGAATGTAAAGTTGAGAAATATTAGTCTGTATAATTCTTATAACAATTTACAATTTAACTGCAATTAATTTTCTGTCTATATTGAAATGCAATACCTCCAACCAATGGTCTGTCAGTACATTAAGACGAGTGCAGAATTCTCATCGGAAATTTAGAATTGTATAAAGGAGAGCAACGTGAGATGGGCCTTAGAATGTCTTGCAGATAACAAGGCTGCAGGAGTTTATGAAATCCCAATTGAACTATTCAAAATTCTGCAAGATGATGCAGTGGAATTTCTGCTTGTCTTATGCCAACAAATTTGGAAAACTCAAAAAAGTTCCATAAAAACATCTACTTCTGCTTCATAGACTATTCTAAAGCCTTTGACTGTGTGGATTACAACATGTGGCAAGTTCTAAAAGAGATGGGAGTACCCAATCATCTCATCCGCCTCCTGAGGAATCTCTATGTAGACCAAGAAGCCACAGTCAAAACCGAACATAGGACAACAAAATGGTTCAAGATCGGGAACGGAGTGCAACAAGGTTGTATATTGTCACCTTATTTATTCAACTAATATGCGGAATACATAATGCATAAAGCTGGGTTGGATGAATCCAAATCAATATTGCTGGAAGAAATATCAACAACCTCAGATACGCGAATGATACAACTCTGATGGCTGAAAGTGAGGAAGAACTAAATGAGGATAAAAGAAGAGTGTGCAAATGCTGGCTTGATACTCAATGTTACAAAGACTAAGATCATGGCAAACAGCAATCTCAGTTCCTGGCAAATAGATGGGGAAGAAGTGGAGGCAGTGACAGATTTTATTTTCCTGGGATCCAAGATCTCAGATTGTTTTTTATGGGGTTTTTTTTGTACCTGGGAGATAATTGAGTCTGTACAGTTCCTCAATTATCTCCCAGGCACAGCAAAGGAGTTTGTGTGTAATTGTATTGAGACACCCTGCTAGGGGTCTATGTATAATTTGGCTGTACCATGTCCCATTAAAAATCATTTGAGTTGTAATCCCAGAACTGTGTGTCATCCAGTTACTGGGGGAAAATGGATGTCTGTATATTTAAGGGTTCCAGAGTGGCTGAGGGAAGGAACTAGCGGAGGTCAGGGCCAGATTAAGAGCCTGCTGGGCCTGGTGTTGACAATTATGATGGGGCCTAATTACAGAAATCGACCAAAAACACTACAACAGTCATACCTCTCAAGCGTCATGTATCTGATGGAGTTGGTGTTGAAGGGAAACTCAAAGGATGCAGCTATAAGAAAACACATACTCTATGCTAATCTCTTTATCTAATTTATGCTTTAATTTTTCAAGTAAATCCATACCTATTCCATGGGCCTGGGCCTGGAGCTGCAGCTCCATCAGCCCCTATATTAGTCTGGCCCTAGCGGAGGTAACTGGTCGGGTTACCCGTGGTCCACTACAGCCACTTATAGTCAATTATTAGAACAACCTTTCACCGATAATCCATTATTAACCCATAGTTTTATCATGATTAGTATAAAAGACACGCTTAAATTAACCTTAATACTTCATTATGTCAAAGTCTGTAACGCTAGCATAGGAAATGTGTTCAAAAATAAATAATTATCCCTGGTTTAAGTCTTTAAGAACAATCAGTTTCCACTGCCTTAGAGTTTACTCTGCGTCAGGACCGTCATAGCTTTCCACGGCATTTGAAACCGTGGTTTTACTTTTCCAAATGTTTACAGGTTATGCCATTACTGCTCTTACATATTAAAATGTTTAGATTTCATTGATATCACATGTATGTATCTACATATGTTTCTGCTTTATAAAATAATTAACAGAGACTTTATTATCTATAATCTTTTACTTCAGATAATGCAACATGATGACCGTCTTTAAGTACATAACCCATAAGGCTATAAAATATATGTGTATATTAACAATAACTGCATATAACATGACAGAATTATGGATAAGCAGAAGGTGATCCCAAAGTCATGAAGAGAGTGTAAAGGTAGAAATATTGTTTGGGAATCTAAGAGAAAGACATATGATAATGTATTAATGGTATTTGCTGTATAATACATTACAAGCGGAAATATTTCCTATTAATTGATGATATTAGTGAAAAGAAATGCTTTTCCAAACTGCAGTCTGATGGCTGATCCTGTGGAAGTTCTATTTTCTGTCCAGGCATTGGAAGGTCATGTTGGCTATAGCTTGGGGTCCAGGGCTTTGTGTGCTGCTTCTACTGACCCTTTGGCTTTATAATTGACTATTTGACATTTCTGGTGAGCTGACCCCTGTGTCACTGTTTAAAAGGTCATTTGGTGCCTATTTTTTGGAAAATATATTGTGGCAGACCTTGCCACCTATTTCGTGTGTTTTCCCCTCATTTTGTGTGTTTTACCCTTTTTGCTTTCGGGAGTACTTCATACGAACAATATCCATTCATCTCCTGAAAGAGGACCAATCCTATATCCCATTAGAACGCTCACACCAGAAACTTAAGTGCGAAAACCGCATGGGAAGAATTAATAAATGCTACCCCTGGGTGGCCGTCATTTTGTGTAACCGAATGCACGTGGTCAACAAAAGAATGGCGGCCATCTTTTCTCCCGAACATGGGCAGCAGTACTTGGTCATTGAGTGTCTGGAACTCTTTTCGGCTAGGCACTCACCTGAACGCCAGTAAAACCTGCTACCCGCTCTATTTCCCTACCACCTATACGAATGACGTTCAGGAGATATGAACTACCGAACAGGGGAGAGCATTTGTATCCTGAAATGAAAATATTCTCTTACTTGGTGTTCGCACAGGAACTCCACGAACAGAGACCAGCCAGGGCACCTATTCTCCTGGAACTGTTTTGGGCAAGCACCTCGTGTCTGCCCGGTCAAAACTTTACCACAATGGCATTCCCGTTCCACCAAACCGATCTGAGCGATCTTTGGATATGTTATACACTCAGATCGGGGCTATCCGGGGATGTACTTTTTGTAGGTTTCCTGAGTATTGTGGGGACACTTTTGGGGTATTGTAATTTTGTATGGGTTTTCTGAGATAATTGGATTAGAGGGTTTTTTCGCATGCAGTTATCTCTTAGGCACAGAGGATCTTGGGATTTATACCCCTGTTTTATTGTATTGTAACCCCATGTAGGGGCCTGGGCAGAAAAGCCATGTGTGACCAAATAAACCTCAGTTGACTCCCAGAACTGCGTGTCGTCCAGTTACTGGGGGAATTAGCTATATCTACTAAAATAGCGCTTCCCTTACAACTCCAGAGAATTACAGCAAACATATTCAGTCTCAACATTGCAGCTCCGCTACATATATATCTATAAATCTCAGCTGAATGGACAAAACCAAATTGTCTGTTATTTTGTTTTTAGCAGAATTTGTGGTAACTTTAATGGTCAAACCTTTTTTTTCCAAATAATTTTGTAAACCTGGACATTAAAAAATGAGGGCTTTTAAGGCGAGAGTTCATTTATTGGACATCTGTCTGACAACCACTACTATAAGAAATGATATTTCTCAGAAAGCAGCATCTATGCAACCAAGAGCGTTAGAGATTTAGTGGATTTGATGCCTCGAAAGTCCCTTTAAAACAACTTAATATGAGCGGTCCAAAAGTTTAATGGAGTTTATTGATAAACTCAGCTGAAGGAAAAATGATATAATAACTGAATGGAGTAGACAAACAGTTAACATTACATAAAGCACCAGACTTTCCTAGTACAATAGGTGGACTGGATTTCATATGTAATACCGATCAGGCCTGCTGAGTGACTCAAATGTACTCACCGATAAAAATTAAATATCCAGCGAGAACAGGGGGAGGGGAGTCTACAAATACTCAGCATTTTGGAGATAGGTGTACTCCCACAAAGTGGCACATTTGCTGCATTACAGCATCTTGAAAAATGTAAAAACTTTACAGAGAAAACTGTAAGCTGACCTCCAGCCAAAGAACACATTAATTATACAGCTTAAGTCAGGCGGATGCCGAAGGAAAAAAGAGATACTGTTTCACCCAGCTGGGTACTTTGTAGTTAGCACAAATGTAATATTAAGCATACCAGAGTTCGTCAAGTGTCTGTCTGGTTTTTTCAGCTTTCATTAATGTTCTAATTAAAGCCACATTTCCAGGCATATTACTTATAACAAGTAAGGAATGGGGAATTGGGCTGTCAAAGTCGGCTATTTTTTCCTGTTAATGCTGAGGAACTGCAGACCACAAAATATTTGGATTTGGTGAGAAACAGAACAATTGGATAGAATGCTACGGCAGAACTGGATCTCACCCACGAGGTCACCTAACACCAG